GTGTCTTTTGTATAATCCTTTGCGTTGAAAGGTTATGTTCACTTGTGTGTCTTTTGTATAATCCTTGGTGTTGAAAGATGTTGTTCACTTATGTGTCTTTTGTATAATATTTAGTGTTGAAAGGTGATGTTCACTTATGTGTATTTTGTGTAATCACTGGGGTTGAGAGTATCTATTCGTTTCTGTATCTTTTGTATAATATTTAGTGTTGAAAGGTGATGTTCACTTATGTGTCTTTTGTGTAATCACTGGGGTTGAGAGTATCTATTCATTTCTGTGTCTTTTGTATAATATTTAGTGTTGGAAGGTGATTTTAACTTGTTTTTCTTTGGTGCAATTGAGAGCAAAATAGATAAAAAAGGAGACAACTATCTTCGTTGACTAAGGTTTGATAGTTTTAAAGTTACTTTTGCCAACAATCTTAATCCATTAATAAACTCCGGTTCATTACCTTAATGCTAATAAACTGTACCCTTATCTCACACCTTTCTTTCGCTGTCTTTTCAGCGTTGATATAATCATGGTATTCTCTCTGTTTTTCTTACACGATAGAATTAAAAGATGCCCCACTTCCCTTGTTCAGATTTTGCATTGAATACTTGCACATTGATTCAGAGTTTAGATTATGATGGTACTTACACTTCGGAATTGTTTCGTCGTCCGCATTGAGTCTAAAGCTGTTATATCACGTATTTGAAGTTAATACAGATGCTGCAACAGTTTCCGTTCTTCAAGATTAAAACATTTCACACAAGTCAACCGTGACATTTAATATTCTAGATAAAATACAGAAGAGCCACACGATGAAGAAAACTGCACCTTATAACTCTTTCGTCCTTCCATGACTAGTGTTGGTAGTGCTAAAAGCTTAAATGTTAAAACTAGGAGGCGACTGAGGAAAATCCAACGATTGATCGAAAGAAATGTCATTATTTAGACGGGGAGGAGCACAGCTCTCATAATTCAGTCATTTTTTATTATTTTTTTTTTTTTGTATGTTTCATAATTATAGAAGAACGTCAAGTAAATGTGTATATTCTGAACCTAGTTACTATATGATTGAATTAAAACGTGGCATCTATGTTACAGTATAAAATAGTTAACATTGTTATAGAATCATCTACGTTTTGTTTTACCTAATTTGAATCTTCGGAGTTGTCATCATTAATAGGTAATATTAAAAGAACGTTAACAAGGTTAGGTTTTTCAACAACTTCTCGTTCGATGGTTGAATAACCCAGCGTTGTAGCAATTGTGGAGTTCATTGTCGGATCCAACATGCCGGCCCGAAATTCCAAAACGTCTCTGCTTCTTTTGATCAAATAAACGTCACCCAATCGAGCGTATGAATAAGTCTTCTATTCTACACCTCCATATTGATTAACAAAAAATGACAAATAAATAAGGAACTTGTTCATACCATTATGTGTTAAGTACCATGAACTGTATATTATCATAAGATATTCAGTGAATTTCAAAAGTACTAAAAGTAATAAAAGTGGATTTCAGGAAAAATATAATTTTCGTGAAATTTTTCTTTTAAACAAATAAAAAATACCAACATTTCAAAATAAGCATAATCCAATCTCCAATTCTATAAAGGTGGGGAAAATATGAATGAAGAAAGGCTTTACATGGAGACTCCTGAAAAAGTACAATGAGAATAAGACCAGGTATTCCAGAAGAGTAAGCGACTTTTGCTTAATAAACAATATCCGCCATCTTGGTCAATCCGAGTCAGTAATGTCACATTTTCAAATGAGCACAATATATATACAACAACGGAACCAACAGGCAAACTAACGAGCATTAATCACGTCCTGCTTCATATCTCACAAAGAAATAAAAATTTCTCAATCAGATAACTTTTCATCCACCTTCGTCTTTTGAACTCCTGTGTTACGAATTATCCGTCAGTTGACAACTTCTGGGACGAAAATCGTTATAATGGGAATATGTTATTGTATATCAAATCAACTACGACATGTGAATCCATTAGGTTTGGGATGCAGAATTAACCCACTTCATTAAGTCGAAAAAGAGTTATCTCTCTTCCATTTAGACTGCAATGATGAAATACAAGATAAACATTATATTTCAAATCCGAATGGTGATGTGATAACATAAAGCAAAATAAACAGAAAGAAGTATGGAACTGAAAACCAATGATAACTTAATAAAGTAAAACGACAACAATACTAATACCACCAGAGATTAAACCAGGTAATAATTTTCATCACATGTTAAAAAAATATGATAATTTCATACAATCATCAATGCTTTAGATAAAAACTAAAATTACACCATCCAGACTGATTGTTCGTACTTATATGATACGTCAGTTAACGCCCATTTTGTGCTACAATCAGAATGAAGAGTTCATCTCTCCGACGAAGGCCCATAATCACAGTTCTCTTTAAACAGATTCAGTTTCTCTATATTTTAAGAGCACAAACGATCCGATCTAGCATTTTTAAACATCGGTTGAAAGGTCTGATATTTAGTATCGTTCACTGAAAGAAGGACCCTTGTACATTATATAGCCTTCCATCTCCTGGTAGCCATTCATCGAATGGTTCGGCGTCGTGTACTCATCCCTGTAATCCGGCAGAGTGTCCTCTGTATAATGCCTTCCTCTATAAGCTGGAAACACACCGTTTACATGTCCCGTCCTATCTGGCCCTAGGCTATACCTTTTTGCATATTCGTTTTGTCTAGCTCTAATTCGCCTCTGCTGACGTTTCCGTCTGGCTTTTTCTTTCTTCGCTTCATCCTTTTTGCATTTACTTGCGCCATAACCACATAACTCAACAAGCAATTGTACAACCTCAAACATACTGAGCATGGACAGTCCTATCCATAAACCAATGGCACCACCGACGTCTGAGGCAAACTGGGCTGTCTGAAATAGAAAAAGACATCAAGACATCATATAAACTTTGGTACAGTATAGATATAAAATATGGAGTTATCACAGAGACAGTACAATGCTTCACAGCGAAGGAAACCCCATATATACATTATGCAATATTTTCAAAGAAGAAATGCTGGCTAATCATACCTCGGCATCACAATGAAACGGACCTCTTTCATTTATATTGGATTCCCAAACTTCACAAGAACCTTTATAAACAATGTTTTCTTGCCGGCTCATCTAGCTGTTCAACCAAGTCCTATTGTGATACTATTTACATTGAGAAATACTCTATTTCTTTGTGCGATATGACACTGGACGTGTTTGATGCTCGTAAGTTTGCCTGATGGTCCCGTTGCTCTCTTTTGAGATCATGACATTGCTTACTTGGACTGACCAAAATTTACATGACGGGTGTCGTCGATAAACCATAAGACGATTAATCTTCCGAAACGCATGGTCTTTTTTCGTTGTACGTTTTCATGAGTCTCCTTGAAAATCTGTTTTGTGTTAATATTTTGCCCTAGTTTTACTGATTTGAGTTTAGATTACAATTGTGTTTACATGTTGGTATTTTATTGGTGTTTTCTATGCTGGTTATGATGAGAAGGCACCATTTTCCCTAATTTTTTCCATGTTTATAATTGTAACGTTGTACATGCAATAATGTAGACATGATGGTAACTTGATTAATCTGACAGCGGGCTGGCAATTTTATCTTATATAAGTTATATAAGTTCTTACCTCAATTTCGGGCGTTTCTTCAATCTTTTCATAATTCAAATCTTCATAATAGACGATTAACTTCAGAAAATTTGCACTGTGTGAAAAAAAAGAGGTTACGTTACGTATGATATATCTCGTTTGTATATCGACAACTTATAATTATCGTTTATTGCTGCAAATGTATTTAGCATATCGGTAAATAGAGAAAGTTGAAAAATACCTCAATTCTGATTTATCTGTGATTGGAACAAGGTGCTGACAATCATCTGTTCTGTTTTCGTCCTCACAAATCGACTGCACTAGCACTGTCTGACGTTTACAATAAAATAAAATATAACGTTATTAAAATCAATTAAAAAGACATCATCGATATTGATTAGGTTCAGGTTGGTTAACCAAGCAGAGACTTTGATTGATAATAAAACATTAGTTTACATACTCTGCGAATGTTCCAAAAGTGGCCTCTTTTACAGTATAGAAATAATTAACCATTTGTTCTAGACACCTGAAAGGTATCATGTATGTAATGCTGAATAATATACTCACTGAATAGTCCTCTGTTGGCCACTGTCTTGTACTAAACGTTTTCTCATATTTCGTTTCCCTGTCGTGGAAATATAAAAATAGTCCAATATAAAATTATTTTCTCGCTTGATAATTTTAGAAGTGTCTCTTTCCTTAACAACAGTGTTATACATTTATCTCAATCCAACTATTCTAATTGATATACTTATTGTAAATAAGTAAATTTTGCTGATCTCCGTCTACATCTAAATATTTAGAATTTCGCACTTTAGGCCTCGAGGATCATCGACGAGTCCTAGAAGGCTGTAACATTTGACTTTAATTTGCTCTGCTGTATCCAGAATTCTACCATAGTTGTTGAAATTAAATAAATAACATAACATGGTGATCTGTTTTTATCAATTGTTAATCATGTATCACAAGGCTTCTAGCCTTAATGCAGTATGAAATAACAAAAACTCATCAGTTACTTAGAAACAGCTGAATTAGCATAAAAATGAACAACATGTATTCACAGTATCAATATTCTGTAGGGCACATGTCGGGGAGGGTACTTGACACGTACATGCAAGGATTCGGGCAGGAGCAAACAAATGATTTCGCCTTTATCTCATTTAGTATGCCAGCCTGACATTGAAGCTCTGAAGTAGTGTTACATGCTTTTACGGATGTCCTCTCGGCAATGTGAAAGATTTCCTGCATTTTCTGCTGATAACAGCCACATCTCGACAAAATAGACTCCTGTTCACATGTAGTCAGACATGCCTAGTGTTGAAACAAAGCAAATATCACAAGTGAACACAATCAACAGTAAATATCATTGGAATGCATCACTTTTTTTTCGATTTCTCTAATTTTATCAAAACTGTTACAGATTGTAGCCAATGGTGGACCATTACACATTCTTAACATACTTATGAAAACAACGTTTCTATACTAATTACCGTATATTTTGTATTTCTTGAAATCCGTAACTATTTTGATAGTAGGAGATTCAGAGACGTAAAGTCTGTTTAGGAGACTGGGAAATATCACGTGCTACGTAGTGCTAGATATTCCTTTCTCGCGCCTCAGACGGGGATATCCCACGCAAACCCTATCCTAGATCTTTGTTTATCTTGCCCGATCTGTCTGGTTTCTTTACATGATATTTGATGCCAAGTGACGTCACAATTAAAAGCCGCCATATTCGCATTACCGAAAATGGAAATCTTAAAAACGAAAATTGCTGAAAAAAATTTATGCATTTTGTACATAATAATGTTTGAGAACAAGAATCTATTACCGTCATGTAGTCGCGACTGATTTATCCGAGTCTCGCGCTGACATTCTGTAACATCTCATTTTCGACTCCGCATGGAATGAGATTGTATAACGGTATATCTATTAACAATAACACATGAAATGCGCGTCGAAATTGACGACGTCTTCAATTTGCGACATGATTATGCTACATAAAATGATGACGCTACCCCTACGACATGTAATAGTGTGCATCAAGTGTCTTTTCTATGCATAGCGAAAAGACAGATGTATCTTTTCTCTTCAAAAAACAAGAATGGAACTGTAATGTATGGAAACGAAATCGAACTGTAACACATGCGGGTAACATTCACACATCTTACCTGTCGGGTGTATTTTCTGTGGTACTTCTGCTCAAAATCCTCGCCATTCGTACATTCACCATATGGTTCGCCTTCTCTTTGAATATCGATCTATTATTACAAGAAATAGGACTTGCATGTACAAATATCCAACGATCTAACTTTCAGTGGGATTAGTAAATATTACAGACACAAGATTTAATTTCCGTATCGACCCCGTGTTCTACTATCGCCCTCTCGTATTTAGTATTGAACACTCCGCTTCGAAGTGTTGTTTGTGTGATCGAGTGATATGATATCTAAATTAATACCAAAAATATTCCACGCAATAAACGGTTTAAAGTCGAATTGTTTGATTTTTTAATTTTCCTACTGTTTGTCTAATATACTTTAACTTTCATTCTGTTAGAATAAAGATGCCTACAATTCCATAAGACAAAAATTCAATTCTCGCACAATCCCGTCACGGATTAGACTAGTTCTAAATAAATCGGCAAGGCTTAAACAGATGTATTGAATATCTAGCTTAATTTTGAATTTATGGGGGGAAAAATAACAAACAAAAAAAAAGTAATTGATAAAAAAATCTTGTTTTATTCAGAACGACACTTACCAGCTTTAATCCTATATCTGTTTCGAAAGCCGAGGACACATAGAAACCAAGATTTTCAGGGTCAGGAATGGTTCCGGGGTAGTGTAACGTCACTCGGGCACCGTATCCCTGTGTGATGCCTTTTATGTAATCTCGATTGTCTACGTAAATGATTAACTTTAGGCCTGTAAAGTCGATATTTTTAACTTTAACATAATAGTCACGATTGCATCTTTGGGTTGTAGTTTATCACATTTCGTAGTGTGGACGATTCCACTCGCTCATATGCGAGTAAATATTTTTGTCGTGTTCACACAGAGAATAAAGGGAGATAATTACAGTGTCTTCGTGTAGATCAATTGAAAAGTTAAAGATATCATACAATAAAATGCTATCGTTTACTGTGTGTTCCTAAAGAAAACTGTATATCAGCTTATCAATCACAGCACTTTACTTACAACAGAAGCAAACTACAGTTTGTAGGGGGCTATAATACTTGTTATGTTAAGGCAGATGATCATGTCTGGTTGGTCCGGCCGGCATGTACCGGACGGAGGCTGTGTTATTGGTCTGACCGGTATGTACTGGTCCTAACCTGTCTGATTAGTCTGACCGGTATGTACCGGTCCTAAACTGTCTGGTTAGTCTGACCGGTATGTACCGGTCCTAAGCTGTCTGATTAGTCTGACCGGTATGTACCGGTTCTAAGCTGTCTGATTGCACACTGGTTTACCTACCATTTGGAGGCCCAGATGTTTGAGAAATAAACTTAGGGGACTCGATAGTATAACAATTTCCATAGGATGGTGTTTGAAACAATGTGAAGTTTCTGAAAAAGACACACATTTATATAGTATTGTACAGCTAAACAAAAGTATCGTATTCTACATAAAAGCTAAGAACTAAAATATATTAATATTTCTCTCCTTAAATTGTGAACAACTTTATCCAATTTATTAACCTTTTACAAAATACGTCACTATGGTCAAACGATGGTTTAGATAAGAGCCGAGAATATGCCTTTTGATTACTCTATCGTGAAATTAGTAGAAATGCTATTCCGAATACGTGTTAAAAGCAAGACGCATTTCATCGAAATACATGCATGATATCCGCCTTTTCTTCCGTACCGTAGTAAGTTTTAAATTCAATCTTAACTTTTCACAGTTTTACAATTACGAAACATGTGATAGATACATACTCTGGATAGCACGTCTGGCCGTTAAAAGCACAAGACACCAGCATGTCATCTATTGTGTGACCGATGCTCACACGTGTGTCCCTGTAATGACAAGAAAAGCGCTCACAGAGGAGGCAATCACGGCACTCTATTGACGCCAATATCATAGCAAGAGGAAAGCGTTGCCTAAAAATGCTCAGAATGACGTGGAGTTGTAAAGGATCCTAAGTGTTTGGAGTATAACCCTCACACTAAATATACGGTCCTATGTCATGACGATGATTTACTAAACAAAATATCAAGTATGATGTTCAACGGAAAGAGTCGAAGTATGACGAAAATGAAATGTGAAAGTAACATGTTTCTTTGAGAGCAACGGAAGTAAAGGAAAGAAGAGGATATCGTCAATCTACCGGAAGTATCCATATACTTAGTAAGTAGTCGATAAAGGACTAACATTTAGATGGATGCAGTAACACGTGTCTCTCCGAACCTGTCTGTTAAATATCTCTCTATCAATACACTTGTTTTAGAGTACATACAGCATACAGGTATGTACGTATGCAGCTATGCGTATCATCTTACATAAACATTAATATATATATATATACCTTTACTTACCTATCAGTATCCATGTAAAGCTCCGTGAAGGTATTCTCTATGTCCGATATAGTGTCACGGGGACCAACGGAAGTGTCCTTTGCGATCGTGTTGTCTTTCCCGAAGTCCGCAAGGTCGAGATCTTCGTAGGTCTCCACGGCACGCTTCCGTCGTTTACCAGTCTTGTGTAAAATATGTTATTGATAAATTTAAATACTGATACATTGTATAATACGAAGGAATTTTTTTTTAAATCTTCATACCAAAAAATGCAGAAATAAAGCCATTTTTACACCAGAAATTTCAATCTTCCTGTTGTTGGAGACGTAAAACTCCTCTGATGGTTTACAATACTGTTTTTTATATAGATAAAATAAGACCTGAAGGAAAGGCGAAAACGACTTTGGTCATTTATCAAAAAAAGATATTGTTCCAAAATTATATTTAAAAACTTTAATTCGTATAATCTATAGGGTAGTCAGATGTCCATACTATATTCCGGTTTGACCATTTCCAAAAATGCTGGAGCGTTTGTAAATATTTTGCAAATAATGAATATTTTGAAGTTATGCAGCAGAACCAGATACAAAATTTGGTTTAAGTTGTCATGGTGCATTTTGAGCGACAGATCTAAAAGCAAAAATATTATAGTGAAACGCCGGAAACGCAACGTCATAGTAATCTTGCTGCCGCGAATTTCGTCGCAGGCGAGTTAAACAATATCTCCCAAGCAATGGCTACAATTGGGAGAATGAACTGTGAAGGCAAACGACACTTCCATTGATCATTTTCAGAATATACAATGGAAATACAAAACTAGTCTGACTATATTTTGTAATCATCAGAGGCAATGTACGATGCAAGGCGTGATATAAAAACAGAATGTATCTTTGATTTGACCGATTAAGGACCTCAATGGTAAATTCACAGAAAAAACGCCTCTTCATGAAAAAGAAATGTGTTGTAAAATGTTAGTTGATAATTTAAATGTCGTAATATCTTTACGTTAACATAATCAATTTATGTAATTTAACAGTATTGAATGAGAATTAGACACAAGCACGGTACATAATTGGTCATTCACCTGTCCGGGAATATTGGGATTAGTTCCGGTTCCGGTTCCTGTAGATGTTCCGGTTCCAGTTACCGGGGTGCCTATATACCCTGTAGTTTTTGATGGATCAAGTTTTGTAGGGTCGACAGCAGCTGCTAACGCTCGTAAGTTATCCAGTGAACTGTCGTCATGCTGCATGAGTTTTGAATGTCGAACGACATTTACGTTACAAATGGTAATTGCGGGCAACTGTAGATTACTGAATCCCAGTTCAATCACTGTAGTTTTTGGCCAGACAAAGAACTGATTTGCGAGATAGTAAAGATGTAAAACCATCATTCCTATCGCGCCAATCAACAGTATTGTCCAAATTATTTTGGCCGCACGAGTCTTGGCAGAGTTTATATAAGGCACACCTTGCATCGATGTCTTCTCTGCGAACCGTTCAATGACTCGGCCGAAAGACTTCCTCTTGCCCTTCGAGTCTAAAGATACCACACTCATATCCGAACCTCTATTTCCAATGTCGATATATCTACTAGCCATATCAGATTCCGTCTTGTGTCCGTCCATTCTATCCGAGCCCATTCCACCATACCCATCCATTCTACCTGAACTCATTTTCTGTCCGTCTGTTTTCCCCGTGTCCGGGATGTACCCGTATATTCTATTCGATTCAGGGATATATCCGTTCCTGGGTAGTCTGCTCTGGAAAGACGTGAAAACAACATATTAATTTTCCACACACATTTTCCAAATCATTTCAAAGACTTAAAAACACAATACAGTAATCAGTAATCAGTACAGAAATCTTAAAGTACATGTAACAAACATGCGTAACAAGGGACATCATTTTTAAGCACAATCATAAAATGACATTGTCAAAGTTGTGATACGTAATATTTGCAGATTTTTTCACTGTACCACTGTATGTATTGAGGAAGATGGCCCCATTAACGAGTATATTGATCATAGGGCTGTGTACCATTGCTGATATAAACCAGATTATAGAAATGGACCGTGACTATGATTCCACTGTGTAAACTAAATACCTGATATCTGACCTAAAAATAAACATGATGACAATAAACAACAAATAAGTAATTTCCAATAAATGGTTCCATTGAAAGAAAAGTATTGATGAAAATAATGGATAAAAGCGGAACTGTCTTCTGTTGATTGAAACCCTAACACACCATTGATGTGAACCGACACAGTTTTCCTGTATAATTTATCAACTTTTACCTCTGTTACTAAGAGTAATGAACTACAAGTATTAATTTGGGTGAGGGTCGTAAACAGAGGAAGAAGGGAGCTGGAAAGGAGCTGTCAATACGACCGATTCAGAATCTAATAGACTTTTAGGAATATTGTATTAATGAAACGTCACGAGATATTTAAGTCATTTGTTAGGATCAGAATGATACTTCATGACGTATGTAAATCTACATATCTTCTATTCCCATCAATGAAGCTGATACATACATGTATACGACGGTATCATGTGATAGTCACACCAAACCTATGGCTGCAGACGTATCCTAGCCACACACTGATGCCTGTATAATTTATTGTTTTTTTTTCTGTAATTCAGTTTGGTATGCATTTCTAACTTCAGAGATGCGGAATACCTACTGCCATCACCCCAATGTGTGTCAAGCGCTAACAGTATAGTGCATGTTTTATAAGTAACTATGTGTAGTAATGGCGGTCAGTTGGTTTTTGCAGTTTATTTGCTGATTAAGATTTTACAAGTTTTAATTTCCTTCCATTTTTGATACTTGGTTTTGTTTTACATGTTGTTATCTAATTGCTTTTTATCAGCGCCAGCGTAGAAAATGACAAATTGGAACAGCAAATATCATAAGCAACAGGTCTCAAACAGCTTTGTAAGAAAGCCTTGCTTAGCCATTTAAGACACACGTGTGATTCTGGTACATTAAATCTACTCTGTAGGATATGTACATGTGTATATAGCACAACAAAGATAAATTAGAACCCTCTATGACAAGACATCACTGTGTAAAACAACTTTGAAGTCTATTTCTGAATAAATATCTAGACCGATTCTCCGTTTGGCGAAGAAGGTGTTAAACTTTCCGAAACTCTTGGTTTTCCTCAAAATGTTGTGTATTGACGATGTGGCATATTTTGTGTACTGTAGCTGTGGTATGAGTCTGTACTTGTGTCCTTAGAACACTGGCTTTAAGCCATACATAGGTGAATAGCTTACACCATCACTTACAATCCTTTACTATAGTATATTTAATCCTCACAATAACTCGAAGTTCAAACTTCTAAGGATTGTTGATCGACCTGTCCGTAACCTGTCAGCACTGGACCGAAGATGGCTGCTTGGGCAGAATCCTGAAAGACTTTCTGAGTGGTGCTGTGAAAAAGTACATTCCAGAGAGTCAGGGCCAGGATTCCCTTGGGGGCACGGATAAAGGTCACCCAACTCGCGTCTGCTTAACCTCGATGAACAACGGTGAGCGTTAAATATGTAAACTAACCAATCTACCTGTTTGAATCTCTTTTCAGTTTCTCAGTAGGGAGCTAAGCACAAAAGGTCAGCATTTTAACCATTTCAGTACACACATATCTAATCTATTTCTAGTATACAAGTCTAGGTAGTGTTAAAACGTATGCAGTGTACTCCTTGGTACACACCTGTGATAAATAACCATCACTAGACTTTCTACAAGGTCTTTCCATTTGACGGCTAGGATAGATTAATCAAATGTTTGTTAATAATTGATCGTAGAAAAAAAAGTCAAGTAATAATCTTGAAGACTGATATGAACAATCTTTGTAAGTGATTTTAAGGTAATTCATCCGCTCGCAAGAAATGTAGGAAATTTTATTTTGTACTGATGAATAAATATAGGATAATGGAAATATTTGAAGAATCTTGTATGAAAATAAGGTAGAGTACCGGAGGACCATTGTTGAAAACAAATCGAAAGAAGTTTGTGTCCAAAACAAGCTCTCAATATCACAAATTATAATATTACATCTACATAAACTTCATCACAATTTTTTTAAAGATTTGCTTAGTTGTTATACACTGAAATATAAAAATTCCAAACAAGTTTTATATTGTACAAATATGGATCTATCGAAGCTATTATCAAATAAACATCAGACAGTGTAATACATAGCAGTACCAATCTATTTACATACATGTACATATTTAAGAGAATCATATACTAAAATGTTAATTCCAAAGGGTTATATTTCTTGCAAGACTTTCCCTGTCAGTAAGAAACCAATATGGCTGATAGGGAAACTTCAAATGTAACAGATTTACAGAAGAGATTTTGTCAGAATCAATCCAAATTTAAGGCTGTAGAAGTTCAAAAAGTTATATAACGAACTTATAACAACAGAAGTTTGTGGAAATCAATATCGCAAATATCCATGAAATGAAATAAAAATGTCCAATAAAGCACTTGTTTATCATGTAGATAAATTTTATGACAATGTCCTCCTCCGGAAACTAGAGAGGTATTTCAAATGCATCCCTGTTGACATCTTGCAATGTTTATAATTTGTTCAAAGAGTGGAGTGTATGATGACAAAAGGTTGAAGAAATCCTCACTATCCAATTATCTGACAGAACTTATATCTCGTGACACAAGATGAATCCGTAACTCAGATACTGGATCCAGATATCGGTACGAATATTTGCCAGACAGAGCCATCCAGAACTGTAGATCTTTATACAAGGTCGAAAACTTATATGATTTTAATTAATTTCAATTTCGTACTTCTATATTTATAATTACCATTATTTCTTGTAATGCTGCTTTAAAGAAGTAAGTTCTTACCATTATGATTTGCATGGTAATCTACCCATAATATGTTTATGAATATATGGTACGTCACAGCGAAAGTCGTGACTACAATATTACGTTTCTTTTGTATCACACAAAGACAGCTAAAAGTTCGTGATCGAGCTTATTCAAATAATAATATCGTGACAAAGAGTAACGTTACAAGAAAGTAAAGAAGTATGAATAAATACTTCATTTAAAACTTTGTGGAAGACTTACCGTTAAAAGTGAAAATACACTTTGAAAAATAGAGCCATTCTCATGTTGTCTTTCCACAGAACACACTCATATCCACCCGAAAACTGAACTGTGTGTCGTTACATTTAAACTACCAGTTCTTTGTGAGAAGGATAGTTGGTGGTTGTGGGACAGGATTAAAGTTTCTCGCTTGATTGCGGATGACCTCCTGAACCATTCGTCAAGGTCTGACATATGGAAACATAATAAAATAGAGAAATTGAAAAAAGATCGATCTTTATTTATAAAAGCGAGTTCTAGAAAGCGATTGATTTGGAAAGATGTGAATTATAGATAAAAATGTTGCCACCACTATCTATACTTGTATCCTACAAAATAAGTTTCATATCAGTAATTCAATATCGGTCCTTTTTATCATTTGTCAAAAGTAAAATGATTAAAATAATATGTATGCAAGATGACATACAGTTGACAACTAACCCTGTTGTACCGAGGTCATTCTGAAGAGAGAGAGAGAGAGAGAGAGAGAGAGAGAGAGAGAGAGAGAGAGAGGCAGGCTGGCTTTAGCAATGTATTTATATCACACCTCTCATATATACAATTATTGTCAATTTAATTATTTGTTGAATTTCATAATTTCCCTGATCTGTCCCTATAGTATTCATCATACACGTTAGGTGTTAATCTGAAAGCTTTTCCTTAATGGACTTGAAGGAACACTTTTAGATCGACATTACGTGTTGCCATGCCAGTGAAATGTTAGAACTGTGACGTTTTCTCTTTTGGTTTCGGATGATCAATTAATCTTGGTTATTAAATAAACAGTGTATTTTAAATTTCAATGCTATGACAGGCAATTGTGGTACATAATGCTTGGACGTGGCGAAAAGGATTTTGTTAATAATTTCACATGACATATGTGATTTAAATTGTATGAAAAAATCTAGGGCTGACCCAAGAGATGACTCCATTAAAAATTTGTTGACAAACGAGTTTAAGAGTAAATACTGATTGTATTGATCCCGATGACAAACGAAACAAATCTAGGACTAGAGCAAAGATCAAGACTAATTTCAGGATACAATAGTTGTTTGAACAGAGAGTGTGTTTGGGCATTGACAGTAGTGACCTAAGCCAGACAGCCATGTTTATGTATTTGTACTACCCGATACATTTGGATGTGACGGTTCCAAAAGAACAAATAACTTTGTGTACCTCCTGTGGAGTGTAGAGTATTTATAAATCATAGATGATTATATCGCATAAGCTACATCGATTTCTTTCAAATCTTTGTATATTTGGTGATAAAAAAGGAAAGAAAAGCAAATATAATTATTCTAGTTTCCTTAATGCAAATAATCCTCAATTGTACCTTTCTGAGGGTGGTTACTTCGAAATCAAAGTTTGTCAATTTACCATTGAATATTAGGAATTCTTTGGATATCTTTATCGTGGAAAGTTTATGATGCCCTTTGACCTATAAATGTCTTGTAAATCCGCAATGATTCCTATATATAGGCGATAAAAACAAAACAAAACAAACAAACAATCAAACAAAGCACAAAGACACATACTCACGACGTGTTTTTGGCTTCCACCGACATATTCGGGATGCTTCCCATTGGGCGTGTTTGGATAGGAACACTCTTGACGTGCTTTTACGGGTGAATAATCATCATCATCATCATCATCATCATCATCAGCAGCAGCATCATCATCGTCATCATCATCAGACTTTATTTCCTCCTTAAGGAGAAATCATATTACAATAAATAAATAAATAAAAATAAAAATGAAGAATTGTGTAGGGCATGCATAACATTTTGTAAAATACCTTAAAAAATTTTAAACTGCGTTACGTAGTATTACTGTAAGATTTCATAACGTTGATGATATGTTGTCGAACACGCCATACAGGGTCGACAGAGATCACTGTCCTGTGAGATTCCCTGCTAGTTTCAAATTCAATATCTAAACTAATTTCACGTCTTACAACAACGATAAGTACTCAAAGAATTGAGAATATAGGACAGATTCTTTTATTCTCTAAAACATAATTGTACCACTTTCATTTAACCCTAAACCATTGTAAACACATAACAACTTTGCTAGACAGAATTTCGATTTGATCTTTATTGACATTTTAATCATAACTTCATACTTGATACTATCTAGAGATAGTCCAGTAACGTTACTGTTGGTTTAGGAGATTATCTGTTCGAACGTATATTTGTAATCTCAATATCAACACAACACAAAGGAGCACACTGGAACATTCAGTGGACAGGTCAACTGAACAACAGCAAAAATAAAAATATTCTTATATTACAATTAATTAATCCACACAAATACTTTTTTCAGAGAAATGACCTATATGAAGATTGTTTTGTGAAAAATGCGTGGAAATCTAAAACGAAATATACGAAAAAGAAATAGTAGAAATTATTGAATTTCTGGTTGACAATTCATTGCATGTTCAAATAGGCAATTGGAATACACATTGGAACTAACTCTACTCCTCTTCCGACTGACTTGTCTTTATTTTCGTATTAGGCTGAATATATCAAAGAGCTTATCAAAACAGACCACAAAGACCTTGGGAAGTCC